GTGATCTTATGAGTCAAAGCCACAAGCAGTAACTGTGGGTGACCTCCAAAAATGGCATTCAGTGCCCTTAGTCTACTTCTAATTGAGTGGCAGCATGATTCAATGGAAAGGGCATTGGACTTGGCGTTAAGAGACTTGGGCCCTAATATTGGACCTAAAAAACACTGACCTAGATAGGCCACATCTTCCCCAAGATTTGAATAGTAGGGCATTTGCTTTGAGACGTAGATGTGGAGATTTTTTTTTTCTGTTAGTAGAGATGGATTTTCACAGAATCATCCACACTTCCTTCTTGCTGGTCACTCATTCAGTCACGTCTGACTCTTCATGACCCCGTGGACCATAGCCATAAAATTTATTAACTATGTGACTATATGCTTATATAATGAGAAAGTTGACCAAAGGGGAATTGCTGTGCCTACCATGATTCAGAAGTTCCCCTGGGTTTGTTCACATGCTTTACTTACTGGTTTTATGCATCCTTACTTCCTGTTTTAACCTTGCTTTTCTGCAATGTGGAATAAGGCAATTGTTTCAAATCCAAATGGAAACTGGGCCACTACACTGAACATAAGAATCCCTGCAGGCTGCATATTGATTTAGTTTTAAAATGTAGTATTATTTATGTTTTATTATATTTTTATTTATTTTGGTAAATATTTCCCAGTTACATTTGAATCTGGTTCTGTGGGCCACGTGGACTGCAAGTCTGACACCTCTGCTATAGTGGATGTTGAGCTGGCCTCAGAATCAGGAAGACCTGGGCTCAAGTCCTACCTGTGACTAATACTGGTTATGTAATCCTGGGTCACACAGGTAGATAATGTTAAGCCCAGAAGAGAAGTGTCATGGTATAGTGGATAGAGAAGGGTTGGTCCAGTCCTCACCCTCCCTTCTTTTCTGTGCTTCTCCTATCCCAGCCAGTGAAAGTTTTTCTTCTAGTTGATAAGACAGGGCTTTCAAGATGTTGTGAGAATAAGTTTTAGCACCTTAATAAGATAGTAGTAATACGTTTGTCAAGTTAGTGTCACTAACTCCATTTTGTTTCAACCCTCCATTTTGTGATTGATTTTGTTCTGGGTAAGTTGTTTTTCTAAAAGTTGCCTTAAAAAAAAGAAAAAATAAGCACTTGAGTGGTTTGTTGTTGTTCAGTCATTTCGGTTGTGTCTGACTCTTCATAATGCCATTTGGCGTCTTGGCAAAGATACTTGAGTGGTTTGCCATTTCCTTCTCCAGCTCATTTTACAGATAATGAAACTGAGTCAAATCGGGGTCACACAGCTAGTAAGAGTATGAGGCCTGATTAGAACTCAGGTCTTCCTGACTCTAGGCCTGGTGCTCTATTCACTGTGCCATCTACCCACCTTCCACTTGGGTGATCTGATGTAATAGACTTGTGTGTGTTCTTAAACAAGTGATAAACAGGAGCAGTTGTTGGCGCAGTGGAGAGTGCTCCAGCTTTGGAGTCAGGAGGACCCGAGTTCTAATCCAGCCTCAGACTCTTCACACTTACTAGCTGTGTGACCCTGGGCCAGTCACTTAACCCCAATTGCCTCACAAAAAAAAAAAGGCAAAACACACGCACACACAAACAAGTGATAAACATATGGACCCTCGAATTAGACTAGAAAAACATTATAAATAGCTTTATCAGTAGCTGAGGTTATAAACTACCAATAAAATTATGTGGTAAGCAGTTTAGCAATACCCATAGCTAAAAGTGTAAAAACCCTGCTGGAGGCCCCAACCATCAATTTGTTCCTAGGAACCAACTAGAGCTGACTACTACGATCTCTGGACTTAAAACTTGAGCAGGTCATCAAGGGCAGCGCTGACTGGTTGATGACAGAGACTTGCCAGATAACCATGTCAGAAGGAGACACGTGGTCTTGGGCTGGACAGAGAGAAAACTCTGCCATTACTCTAGCATGAAGAAAAAGCTTATCCAAGGCTCTAAGAACCAAGTTGGTGATTTGTTCTTACACAAAAGTATTGTTTGTACATTTTAATTAAAAAAGCTTGATGGGATACATTGAGACATGTAAGTCTAATAAGTATTTCCATCACACTAGTTAGTGAAAGTAATGATAAATTGGCTGCATGCATGCACCACACCTTGAAGTGATCAACTCCTATTTCTTGAGTTTCTTCCAGTTCCAAAAATCTATGACATTTACTTGACCTGGGAGATAAGTAAAAGCTTCAAATTCCAGAAGTCTATGCAGGCCCCCACAAATTCTTCCACCATGAGAGATGTGGAACATGATTCTATTTTGAGAGAGAGGGGTATTTCTCATAGGACTCTCATCTACGAACTGCCTCCTGATAGGGCTCTAAACTATCCCTCTATTGCTTTGCTCACTTTGCTTCCTGGGTCTTTAATTCTCTCTTCCCTCCCCTTTTTTGTCTTTTGACTCATTCTTTAAAACTCAGCTCAAATGCAACCTCCATCAGGAAGCCTTCTCTCATCTCCCCCGTGAGGCATACCTTTCTTCTCAGATCTCAAATAGCACTTTAAAAAGTCGAATACATTTATTATGTGTTTTATATTACAGTGGTCTGCAGTGGTGTCTTATCCCTCCCCCCTCATGATGGATTATTAGCTCTATCAGGGCAAGGACCGTGTGGCATATAAGCTTCATGTCTTTCCCAGGGTCTAGGACATTGGTCTGTACATAATAGGTGCTTATTTCTTGTTTGTCTTGTTTGATTTAGTCTGGGTAAGTCTGCTATCCCACCCAGTACAGAGGAAACACATGAACAAGTCCTTAACTCCAAAGAATAAATGGTGTAGTTTCAGGTTGTAAGCCTGGGAGGGGAAGGTGGCTTTTTTGGAGAGGGGGTGTGTGCAGGGATGCATATGTGTGTATGGGGGGGATTTTCTATAGGACCAACCCTGGTCATGAAGCTTGGGGGCAGAAGAATGCCTTAAGTAAGGGCTGTAATCATGCTGGGCCATTGCCCCATTGGGGGACACCTGGGCTGTAGGTGGAGTCTTTCCCCCTCTTCCCCTCCATTTATTTCTCACGTGAGAAGGAATCCACTGAACAGAAGTCTGAGGATTCAGTCTTGTCTCCAGTGGAGGAGTAAATCTTTACATACTCTGATGGCTGCCCAAGACTTCTTTCTTGTGTTAAGTTACCATAGTGTAGGTAAAAGGAAACATATCCAGCATCCATTGTCATGATAACAATGCTAAGCTGGTATCAGGCTGGTTAAAATATCTCTTGTGGGCCCGATGCTTGATCAACAGCTCACTCAGTCAGACATTGTTATAAAGGTGGACAGGGTATGATCTCCTCTCCCTACACAAAATGTTCATAATGATTTCCAGAGCTAAAATTTGGGCAAGAAGACTGGAACTTTGTTGCAGAGTGATGAATTTAGAGGAGGCCTTGATGGTACTCTCAGATCATCAATAGCATAGAGATAACTGGGTTTCTTCCCTGGCTAGCAGGAAAAATTCATTAAAATGGGAAGGTGTAGATGCCTATTTTCTAGGCCTGGTCTTTGGATCCCAAATGTGTTCTCTTTTCCCAGCCCAGTCCTATCTGTAATCCACTGGTGGCCTCCTCACTGGGGCACTTCCCCAGCCTAACAGTGGTCTTGAAGCCTTTGCCAATACTGCCTCCTCTCCAAAATAAATGAGCATATGTTTCATGCCACTTCAGGCACAAAAATGTCTAGCTATGGATTTGACAGTTCCTGTAAGCAACCCTGACTTGAGATCAACAGTATAAAAACCCAGGAAGAATGAATTGATTTTGCTACCATCTTCCTGGCTGTAGATCTCTGTGGAAATTCATCTCCACTTCTGGTGCCATCATTTGTGAGGCAGGGACCAAGGCTTGTGAGTTCTATTTAGTTATGGTTCAGATTGCTGGCAAACACATCTCTTCATCATGTTGAATAACATTTAATAGATTTTTTTACATGGGTAGTAAGAACAATTATTCTGGTACAACAGTGATATATGAACCGCAAAGTCAAGAACAGCAGCTTTTTCCTTTACCAAAAAAAGTGATTTCCTCCTACCCTCTTTTCCCCTACATAGGACAAGATGGCCCAGTGAGGGGTAGATAGATAGTCTTTTCTTGAATAGTTTCTATTTACACACTCTCCATTAAAAAAGTTTTGGTCAGCTTGAATAATTCATTTTTCTTAAATAAAAGCCTATCATGTATTGTTTGTTTCCATGTACAAATGATCATAAGCAGGTTAATCATTTAAGGTGCTCAGAGGTATAGGTGATTCCCAAAGCTACTTTCAAATCCTAGGGTTTAATCTATGCTTTCGAGCTTTCCCCTGAAAGCTTTCACTGGGAGGGGAAGAGGCTGGAATGCCTTCTGCCAGCTGGTTGGACAATAGGGCTGCCACTATAGTCTGTGGATGGGGGCAGGTTGAGGGCCAAGGTAAGGCAAGAACCTGTATCCTCATAGGGTCACAAGATCTGACACAAACCCACACACCAATAGGGCACGTGTGTATGTGTGTGCTCTCACATACATACGTATATAGGTAGAAGGTATCTGGCAGAAAAATACCCAAGCAAAATTGTAAAGGGTGACAACTTTGGGTGCCTCTATACCACCCCTAGATGCCTAGGGTCCCAGGTGTGTTGTGCCTGCTGGACAGTGCCCTCAAACTTCATACCTCTCCTGACCTACTATCAGGAGAGGTGCTTGTCTTGAATCTTAGTCCCTTAAAGATCTTGCCCTCTACTCAATTAGTCTTATGCACTAATTCAGGCTGAGGTGTTAATGGATGATAATGGCTTACTGTGTTAACATTTCTTGGCAACAAGTTTGCATTTTAAAAGGAGGCCTTTGGGGCAGCTAGATGGTGCAGTGGATAAAGCTCTGGCCTTGGAGTCAGGAGGACCTGAGTTCAAATCCAGCCTCAGACACTTGAAACTTACTAGCTTTGTGACCCTGGGCAAGTCACTCAACCCTGATTGCCTTACCAAAAAAAAAAACCAACAAACAAAAAAACCCCCCAAAAAACAAAAAAATAATAAAAGGAGGCCTTCACACCAAAGGAGTAACTATTACAGTGGGGTATCAGGCCCACTATGGGCCAGAGGGAGAGAGACTTGGGGTGGGGCAAGAGGCTTTTGACACATCTTATTGCTCACATCACACCCCATAGTTGCCTTCCTCTTCCGCTTATGCATAGGGCTGAGTGTATGTATGTTTGTGTGTGTGTGTGTGTGTGTGTGTTGTGTGTGTAAAGACTGCAAAATCTGGCCTTAGGAACATCCATCAATAACTGAACTTTAGGTTCAATAACCATTCACAAATAATTCAGTGGCTTTTACGTGGTTCCCTGTCTTGTGGACCATTTCACCACTAAATGAGCCACTTCTCATTGAGAGGAAATGGAGGTCAGGAGATTGTATTTTTTTTTTTTTAATCCAGTGACCTCCAGGTTGTCTGGGTCTGAAGCCCAGGAGGCTTCAGTATCTGGCCCAAGATGGCAAATGAAAACGCTTGTGTATTAGAAGAACTATAGGATATGACTGTTCTTGCTTATTAAGGAGAGACATCCAACTTCTGATCCAAGGAGGAAGAAATCTTTTGGACTTCGGTTTCCCTTAGATTCTGAAAAGAAAGCATTTCCACAGCAAAGGAGGTGGCATGAAGGGCCAGTCTAGGAGTCAGGAAGCCTAAGTTCTACTACTGCTCTGCCACTCACTGTAACTAAGTCCCTTGGGAAGTCACCTTCCATCTCTGGACCTCAGTTTCCTCATCTGTCAAAGGAGGGGATTGGACTAGAGAATTTCAAGTGTCCCTTCAGGCTCTGATACTTTTTGCGGATGGTGAGTTTGTGGACTGCACCCCTTAGGAACCAGGCAGCCTTGTTCCTCTTTGGGAGGCTTCCTTCTTCCCATGGCTACTCTTTCCTCCCTCCCATCTTCCTTCTCCCAAAGCCCTCACCCCCATGAATGTGTTCATAAACTGATGGGTCCAGTACGAAAGGCTTGTTACCCTAGACTTATATTCAAAACAGATTCCAGAGGTTAAAAGGCGCAATCATTAAGGCAGTTTAATAGATTCAATATTTCACTTGTATTTACTGATTCCCTTAAGGGTCCTGTGAACCCTAAGGCATCAGAAAACAGGCTGGGGGTTGTTTGTCTTTGATTAAAAAGTCTGGGGTAGGCTACCCACCCTCTGTTGCAAAGGACTGACATGCCAGGAACAAGGGCCCATTTTTTCCCCTTTGGCCTGGGTCTGCAATGCCACAGGGCTGTGGCCTAGCCAGCTGAGGAGAAGGGCGAAGTTCATGAATAGCAAACCCCTCAGCTTCACCACCTCTCCTTTGGATAGGGTTCGGTCTGTACGATGTCACTGGGGTGCTCTGAGATACATGCCCCATTGATCTCACTGAGTTTGTTGTCTGGCAGGTCCTCGGGCTTGGTGCAGAGTTTCAGGGCCCTGGAAATGAAGACATCTAAGTCAAATTGAGGGTCGGCCCCACTGTTCCCTTCCTTGGGGTCCTTGCGGTGCTGGGGTGAGGAGGGCAGGCTCCGTTCCTGGATCTCAGGGAGTGGACTGGGGCACTCAAGGCCGCTCTGGGTGCTCTTCACCCATTGCGCAATCTCCAGGAAGAGGTTAGATGGCTCCTCCTCTAGGGAGAGCTCAGTGGCTGGAGTGATAGCTGTCTTCTTCCAATGGGACAGGTCTAAGATGAGCTTTGGCTCTGAGTAGTGATGGGGCTTGTTGTCCCTCCACAGTAACTTATCCAGGTAGGATGGTGACCCCACCTTGTAGTCACAGGACCGCCCACAGTCAGAGTCAAACACTCGGTCCATGGATGAGTGAGACTGCTCCAGGAATCGTTCAGAGCTACTCTGGGAGTATTTTCGTGGGTCCACCTGGACCTCTTCCACTATTGACTCGGAGCCTGCGCGGGGGTCCCGCTGCACCTCACTTGTGTCGAGGTATCTGTCCTGCCTCCATTCCAGATCAGAGGACAGACTGACTTGATACCTAAGAGAAGACAGATAAAGAGGATGAAACAAGAAGCTGAGAACCAGGTGGGATTGTTGCTAGAGAGAAAAATGCCACTAAGTATTGCTGAACTCTCCCTTCTAACTCCTTTGTGGACCATCTACACTATACCACTAAACATCTATTCATATACATACCATTTTGTATGATTCTTTGATAACTTCTTCTAAAATCAAAATTGCAGGATGTTGGAGCTGGAAGAGACCTAATTCCCTTCCCTTTATAGACAGGGAAAGTGAGGCTCAGAGAGAGGAATGTTCATAGGTTTGTAGATTTAGAGTTGGAAGGGACCTTATAGGTGATCAAGTCCAACCCACTCATTTTACAGATGAGGAAACTGAGGCCCAAGAGAACTTAAGTAATTTGCCAAGAGTCCTGTAAGGATCTGAGGCAGGATTTGAACTCAGATATTTTGGAGGCTAGGCCTAACAATCAGGTCACTATACCCTGCCACTTCTCAATGTGTCATGCCCAAGGTCACACAAGTAGCTAGTGACACAACCAAGGCCACAACACGGGTCTCCTGACTTCTAATCCAGTGCATAGTGTCCTTTCCCCCACCCTGAATTTCCCCCTGCTCCAGTGGTTGAGTTGAAGTCCAACTAAATTGCAAACTCATTGAAGGCAGAATCAAGGAGTTTAGGCTTCTCTTTTGTCCCCCTCCCTACTCCCTATTCATAATACAAATACATACACACTGTACCCAGTACATGGCTGGGCACAGAACAGGTGCTTGGTACATCTTTTCTGATTGCTTACAGACATCTTTGGGAGATACTGAAGGACTTTAGGTCCCTAGCAGTTTTCATGGTTTCTTTAAAGTCCAGGAAAGATAGGACTGCTGAATGGAAGGAAGAACCAGGCAGACAGCACCAACTGAGCTCCTGCTATGTACATACTCCTTGGAGGAGTATAACTAAAATAGCTGGTAAGTGAATAGGAAAAGGAATATGTCTGAAAAATACACAAGGACAAGTGGAACATGCTATTTTCTTTGTGGGTGATGAGAGACACTAGGGAGGCCCCCATATTTCCTCTACCCCACCATTAGCCCCTGTTTCCTTTGGGTTAAGTAGTGTTCCCAACCAGGGGATCTCTGTAAAAATGCACCAGGCCATACATTCAATCCAAGTCCCATAGCAGGCATGAGTTTCTTAAGAGATGTAAGAGATGGAGCAACAGGAAAGCCCAAGGAACCTAGATGGTACTATAAGGGGAGGAAGAGTACTGGAAGGGAAGATGGGGTCACAATTCAATAAATATTTATTTAATACCTACTATGTGAAAGGCTCACTGCTAAAGGCTGGGGATAAAAAAATAATGTTCCTCCCCTCAAGGTGCTTGCATTCTACTGGAGGGATTAGGGTTCACTATGCATACAAATAAGTATAATACAAAGTGAATTGCAGGAGAGAGCACTAAGTTGGGAGATCTTCATGGAAGAGATGGCTCCTGAGCTGAATCTTTAAAGAAATGAATGCAATTCAACACACATTTTTAAAGCACTTACTGATACCAGGCACTGTCTTAGGTGCTGGATTCTGAGAAGTAGAGATGAGTAGGGAGCACATTTCAGGCATGTGAAGATACATGGAGGGGAGAGATGGTGTGTCTAGAGTTTAGGAAGGGGGGGAGGGGTAGGCAAATTTTATGGACTTAGTTATTTTGTCTGAGGCCAGCTCTGAAGACCTACAAAAGCATGGAAGAAACAGCCTGGAGTGGAGTCAGGAGGTGGGGGCCTAGTCTAGGTTCTTCCATTTGCTGTGGGCACTACTTTCCTGCTCTGAATGTCAATTTCTTAATTTGTAAAATGGGAGGATTACATCTCCTTCCTTCATCCCACTAGCCAAAGTATTACTACTACCTCCAAAATATCATTTGAGGCAGCTAGGTGGCATAGTGGAGAGAGCTCCAGCCTTGGAGTCAGGAGGACCTGAGTTCAAATCTGGCCTCAGACACTTGACATTAGGTGTGTGACCCTGGGCAAGTCATTAACCCACCTGCCTCACTAAAAAGCAAAAAAAAAAATAAAAAAGGAAGGATTTGACCAGATCATCTCTAACAAGCTTTCCAGATGTACAAAAGCTGTCGCTCCACCCTCTGTCTCTGACCTGCTGGTTCTGTAGCATGCACTGTTGGGTCACCTCCTAACTATGGGAGAGATCACTGTATCTAGTCAGCCCCTGACCCATCACACCACACTCTAGCCATCTTCCTCCCCATCCCCATCTCCCACCCTTTTCCATCTTTGGCTCTGGAAATAGTAATCAAATTTAACAATACGATTCCTGGAAAGTCCACTTAAACTGATTGCCCTGTGCCTTCACTCACCATCCCCTATAAATTCCCTGATCAAATCACACTTCTTCCCTTTTGTAAGAAAGTAAGTGTATAAGTTCTTTGAGGGGAGGAATAATCTTGCTTTTTGTATTTGTATACCTAGCATTTAGAATTGTGCTTGGCACATAGGAAGTGTTCAGTAAACACCTTTTAACTCATTGATATATGATTCTAAGAATTTGTCTCAGAGCTATGTGTCTCTCAGAGTTGTGGCGGTCACTGACTAGAAGGTGAAGAAAAGGGTGCAGCTGGAGGCAGAGCTTCTTAATTAATCTAAGCTTTCCACATGATTTATGAGTCACTGAGTCCCAGAAGAATTGCTCTGATGCACATGAAGGGGCTTCAAAAGCAACAACAAAATATCTCTCCAAACATAATCTGCTCAACAAAAGGAAACTGTCCCAGCCTTCCCTTGGAAACCCCCTACCCTGTACCCATCATTTGTCAAATGATTCAAAAGGACACTTTAATTGTCTTTCACTTATGTAACTAGTTGTCAGTTCCCCAAATGTAGTAGGACACCCACTTAGGTCTCTTGTTCTCACTTCCTCATAGAGTTCTAGCTGCCAGAATGATGTCTGCTTCTATTTTTAATCCCTGAGCTGCCAGAAATCCCTGACCCTTTCCCCTTTCAGGATTTAGCAGACAAGCACTTATAAAATCAGAAATGCTGGAGACAAAAGGCACCCTAGAGATGATTAAATTCAAATCCCTCATTTCACAGATAAGGAAACTGAGGCACAGAAAGTGGCATTACTTACTCAGGGTCACATAGCTAGTTAGTTGTTGAGCTGGGACTAAAACCCAGGTCTCCTGACTCCTAGGCTAGTGTACCTTTCACTACTCCATACTATCTCTCAAGGCTGAATAACCTCAGGAGCACTGAGCTTTTCCCAAGAAGGTTCAATTTCATTCTGGCATATGTCAAGACTCTCATTTCCATTCCTCATTGGAAATCACATAGCAGTTCCTATGGGAATTTTATTATCCTTAGCTCACAAGACCAAGGCCAAAATAAGACAGCTTTTCTAACCTTAGACTTTGAAGGACAGAGCTTGGAAACCCAGGGGTCTGGAACAAAAGAATGACTAAGGAAAAAACTATGTACCTCGAGACTCAAGTTTGCTCAACCCTCGAAACACCACTGTCATAACTGATGAGATTTCTCTAGAGCAGGGAGGAGCTGACAACTTATTAGTGGAAGCATGCCAAGTGGTTGTCATTCTGATGGCTGGTGTGTGTGTGTGTGTGTGTGTGTGTGTGTGTGAGTGTGTGTGTGTGTGGCTTTATTGGGAGTCCAAAGTAGCCAATGGGCCTAAGGAAGGTTTCTTTGCTCAAAAATCTCTTTTCTCCCACATTGAACAATTAGAGAAATGAACTGAAATGAACAGGTTTCTCAACACTGAAACCACTCAAGGGAGAGAGTTAAAGTCTCATAGACTAAGATCTCTTAGACAGGGATTGCAAAGATCCTATGGTTCATTTCCTTTATTGTACAGATGAGAAAATTGAGACCCAAGAATATTGTGACTTGGCTGAGGTCACCTAGGAAGAGGGCAACAGAGGCAGGATTTGAACCCAGGTACTTTGCCCCCACAGTTCATTCCACTCGACCACACTGGTTAAAAGGTATTTGTTATTTAGACTGGTAGAGCACTATAAGACTGACAAGACACTTTTACATTCTTTATATGACTTGATCCTTACAACAATCCTGTTAGGCAGGTAGCCCAAGCTTTATTGGCCCTATCTTATACATGAAGAAACTAAGACCCAGGGAGGTGAATTCCATGGTCACACAGTTAATATTGAAACTGTGTCTCTGCATTCCAGGTCTAGAACTCAACATCACATGGTGTTCTCTCAATCAATCATGTACACCTTAGCATGAAGAGATTTTAATCAGATAATCAGAATGAGATCTGTTCTGCTAACTAGAGTAGCAGTGTTCATTAGGAGAATGGGGAGGAAGACATTCTCTTCTAACAATGGACCCTTCAGGAGAGGACTTGCTTGGGGGAAGGAGAGGCAGATGTTTCAGTAGAGGGATTTAAGCATGAAGAGAGGAGCATGAGAGGGCTGGGCACCTCCTAAGCAAGCAAGTTAGGATGCAGGCAGTGGGAGAGGGCACATAAAAAGTGGTAGGAAAGTGCCAAAGATGAACTTTGCCTCCTTTTAAATTTCATAACTCTTTGGTCCTCGTCATTGGCATATGCTGCTTTTGGCATATGGACAATTGAGGAAAAACAACATATGGCTAGGTTTAAGGAGCACCTGGTCTTTGAGGAGATCAAAACATTATTATGATCAAGATATCCTTAATGCTTTCACCATGGGGTTGAGAAGACAGATATTATTCTTGTTGTTATTTTTCCGATGGAGAAACTGAGGCTCAGAGAGATTAAGTAACTTGCTCAAGGTCACTCAGCAAGCTAGCATCAGAAAGTCAGATCTAGAATTTGGGTCTTTTGCTTACAGACTAGGGGGTGGTGTCTGTGTTGTGTCATTTACCAGACTGACTCTTCTCATGTGGATCAAATATCTCTAACATCTAACATGTAGGAAGAAACGTTGAGATGCACTAATGTGAACAAAGCCATTGGTAGCAGTATAGATCCCCAAGACAAGCTACAGAATCTTTCTGAACTCAGCTATGAGCAAGCAGCTGAATTACATCATGGCAACCAAACATGAGAGTGAGTTGCCCCATTTTCTTTCAAGGCCACTAGGGAGCCAAGCCTCCAAGTCAGTATGAGTCTTGCATAGCCCTGAGTGATTTTAGAAGAATTTACAGTTCATACTTGCTAAAGCTATATTTGTTTTAATCAATAGAGTTGTTCCATGGAACAATTGTTCCTGGGTAAAATTTGGCACTTTCTCATCTTTTTAAAGTTCCTTTCCTGTTTCATTGCACAGTGGACTCTGTTCCCAGGTACCCATCTTGCTTTTAGCTAGCTGTCATCAATCTTAGAGAAAGGTACTGAGGGTATGTTCTCCTTCTCTCTCTAAAAGGGGACCCTGTGCAATGGTCCTCAGATTACTAAGAATTTACTACTTTACTTGTGGGTAAAACCAGTTCTTTGAATGAGTAACAGCTTCATTCTTTCTCATTACCCACTGTCAAGGATAGATTTAGCCTGAATCAGGTTAGAAGTCAATTCTGAGAATACTCAAATCTTTGCATTGGAAGGATCCTCAAATGCAATCTAGTCAACCATACTGAAAAGATGAAGCCCATTTGTCCAAACCTGTAATAGCAGCACTCTAACTTGTGGAGCTCACTACTTAAGGAGCCCCTCCAGGGATGGGGATGATTCTAGCCTGAGTCACCTGCCATTTCTCATCCAGTTTGCCTTGGGACCAATGGTATGATTTTGTACTGTGATTGGCTAGAGCTGGGGCATCATTTGTGGTCATTGAACAGAACTTAGCTGACTGGCTCATCAGCAGATTTAATTGGCTGCCTTGGTGGCATTAGGATAGTGGTCTAGCTTGTTAGGCTAACCATTGATGCATTATGTTAGATTCTGCCAGCTTCCTCACCGGTAACACTTAGCAAGGCTAATCCCTAGATCCTGTATCTCCTAATACAGGCAACTCCTGAGGTTACTCAATTAAAAGTGGAAAATTGTACATGATCAAAAGCAAAGGACTTCCCTGTGCTTAGTACAGCTGCAAATTCAAATTAGCTCATGTTTGTATAGTGCTTTAGGGTTTACAAAACACTTTCCGTATAAGAGCCCTGCAGGGTAGGTAATAGTTTTTTTATCCCCATAAGCCTCTGGGATTCAGAAGGTTAGATGACTTACTCAGGGTCATGCCAATTAACAGGCATCTGAGCCAGGATTTAATTCAGGCCTCTTGACTTCAAGCCATGTGCAACCACCCACGCCCTTCTGACATACAAAACTGGAGGGATAGGCCTGCCTTAGAGATCAGGTACCAATGTGCAGATTGTTCATCCCCTGAAAAGCCTTCCCCTTTCTCTCTCTGCCAGCTCTATCCCACGTAGGTTTCAAAACCCAATCCCAGTTCAAGTCCTGCCTTTTTTGAGAAATCTTTCCTGACCCTCTCATCCCACTGTGCTCTCCTTCTCTTAGTACCAGCACTGGTCATTTGCACCACTCACGTAGCACTTTTCATGTGCAACCAAGAGTGTGCTGGGAAATGTTTAACAGCCAGCTACACATGGCACGCTTTTATATTTAATCTGCATTACTGACAATTTCTTTATCGCTTTTCTTAAGTCTAGACAATCGACAAGACAACAAATCAAACCCCAGTTTTCCAGCATTTACCAATTTCTGAGGTTCTTAGCTGGGGGCAACTAGGTGGCATAGTGGATAGAGTGTCAGAACCAGAAAGATTCATCTTCATGAGTTCAAATCCTGCCTCAGACACTGTGTGACCTGGGGTAAGTCATTTAACCTTGCTTGCCTCCGTTCCTCATCTGTAAAAATAAGCTGGAGAACGAAATGGCAAACCACTCCAGTATCTTTGCCAAGAAAATCCCATGGGATCACAGAGAGTTGGACACAATTTTATAATGACTTAAAAAAATGCTCACACTGAAAATTTAACAACTGGCTCTCAGAGCCAGACCCAGCAGGCTACAGCACACCCCTGCATACAAGCTCATGACGTCTATCACAAGGCAACTATGTGAGGGCAAGGGCTGTATCTTATTCCTGTCCGTGTTCCCCAGAATGCCTAAAAGTGAATGTTAGAGGTGTTCAGGAAAGACTTGTCGGTGATCAATTTCTTAAGCTATTCTTTTGCATTTTTATCAACTGGATTGCAAACTTCCTAGGTGGGGGAGGGGAATGTCTCATGCCTGTCTATATCTTCCAAGTACTCAGCACAAGGCCTTAAAAATAAGAGCTTGCATTGGTGTTGTGTTTTCACAGTTTTCAAAGTGCTTCCACATCCATCACCTTGTTGGATCTTCACAACAACCCTGTGAGGTAGGCAGAGCAAATAGTATGATCCCCATTCAACCTAGAAGGAACTGAAGCTCAGAGAGATTAATCAATTCACCCAAGGTCAAACAGCTAGTGAGTGACAGAGCCAGCATCAGAATGGAGGGCTTCTGCCTCCTTGTCCAGGGCTCTTTTCACTCTAGATACTCTGGAAATATTGTTTGAATGTTGGACAGTTTATTCACCCCAGCACAGACAGTTAGATGGAGAGGACAGTAATAAAAATAGGTAGTGGCTACCTAGTTCAGCCTTGAGAAAGGTCATCTGTCCATTTGCTCATAGTAAGTAATTACAAGTTGGGAGAGCAAGAAGAACCATGGACTTTGTTTACCTGATTGTGACAGTCTGGGAGAAAGGCAGAGAGGATGAGCCTGGCTGAGGATGGGGGAAGAGATGTACATGGACTGTGCAGCTCTAAGGTCATCTTCCAAAGGCTGCTGGAATGTGTGACCAATGAAAAGGAGGATCTCCAGTGGCCTGGAGTTAGGTTGGGAAGGTAAGGTAGATGGGTGGAAGGGGGATGTAGAATCAGGTAGGACAGTTGCTCTTAACAACAGCATTGGAAACCAACAATACTGCACCTGTCCCAGGTGGAGAGCTGACTCTGGTTGGCTGCCATCAGCAAGATGTCGTCAATCTCATCCTCAATTCGGAAGGGCTGCTGGGAGGTAGGCTCATCCTCTGGGCATGAGTATGGACTCATGTAGGGGTGCTGCAGGCCCATTTCCGCTGTTAATCGGTCCATGGGGTTGAAGGTCAGGATCTTCTCCAGAAAGTCGACAGCTACAGGAAGTAAAGCAGACCAGGATATAGCAGTCATTGATTGCTCCTTACTAAGCTGAGAAAAGAAGATTGTGAACATATAGGGTCTATGGGACTTTCCTTTAGAAGTGGTTGGCAGGAATGAATTTGAAGTGAGTCTCCACTAAGGACAAACTTTGCCTGGAAATGGAAGGGATGGGGAATGAATGGACAGATGCTGGATGGAGGGGCTGCAAAAGGTTGAAAAATAGTGGATTAAGTGAGTACTTCTGAAGTTCCAAATTATTATTTCTTCCCTTGTTTCTCCTTCAATTTCTGTCTTGGTATAGTGGAAAGATGACCACCCTGGTAATCAGAAGACCAGGGTCATTTGGCTTTGTCATTTGCTAGCTGTGTGACCAAAGACAAATCAGTCCTCTTCCCTACTAAGCTGCCAAGTTTGTGGGCATACTGATGGTGATGATGATAGCCAGTGCTTATATATCAGGATATATAACACTTATGAAGTGCCCAGCATTGTACCAAGCACTTTACAATCATCTCATTTTATCTTTACAACAACCCTGTGAGGTAAGTGCTATTATTATCCCCATTTTGCAGACAAGGAAATTGAGGCTGAGAGAGGTAAGTGATTTGCCCAGGATCACATACCTAGTCTGAGGCTGAATTTGAACTCAGGTCTTCCTGACTCCAAGCCTGGTGCTCTATCCATTGTGCCATCTAGCTGCCCAAGGTCCCATGCACAGGAGGGTAAGTGCAGGGAATAAGGCTGGGACACACTTTGCCATTTAACAATTTTGTAGAGGGTTGACACCAGTGTTAGGAGCATCAGTTTCCTTGTCTGCAAAATGAAGTGTTTGGACTAGATGATCTCTAAAATCCTTTTTTGACTTTAACACTTTACAATTCTTTAAAATCCTTTTTTGATTTTAACACTGTACAGTTCTTTCTGCCTTGAATCTGGGTCTCACTTTCTTAGTCTTCCTGCCTCCACCCAAAAGTACTTTTCCAATAGTTTGCCAAGTGCCTGAAACTACACCACTAGAGATTCGTACCAATTCTCTTAGGTTAAGGCATTTTATCTTTAGGAAACCTCTATTAAAAATGGCAATTCTTCTGGGAGGGGTGACACATTAGGCTATCATACATTAACACATTTCAGGGGTTTGTCAGCAGATGTTAAAAAGCATAAAGCAAAGGTCTGTGGGAATGGGAACAGGATGAGTAAGTTTTGAAGAGGTGGGAGTGAGGAGTGAAGAGTGAAGAGGAAAAAGGTCTCAGCATGAGGTGCTTCTCAGCATGAGGAGTGTAGGCCTGGGTGTGTTCTTTCAGTGAAGGCCTTTGGATATCCAGGGGTCAGTTTGAGGACACTGAGTGAGCATCTGGGTAAGTGATGCACTAAGAATGAAAAGAAGCTTAGGACAAAATGTGCTCACTTCACACTTTTACTGAGGGCAGGTAGCCTATTAGGCTCCCCTTCTTCTTCCCCTTCCTCCTCTCCTCTCCTCTGCTCTTCTCTGCTCTCCTCTGCTCTCCTCTCCTCTCCTCTGCTCTCCTCTCCTCTGCTCTCCTCTCCTCTGCTCTCCTCTCCTCTCCTCTGTTCTCCTCTCCTCTGCTCTCCTCTGTTCTCCTCTCCTCTGTTCTCCTCTCCTCTCCTCTGCTCTCCTCTGCTCTCCTCTCCTCTCCTCTGCTCTCCTCTGCTCTGCTCTGCTCTCCTTCTACAGAAAGCACCAATGGTACCTGGATACTGACGCATCTGGCATGATGGGACTTGCCCTGGAATGTGATGGAGAGTATGCTCTTCAGGCCATCCCAGGGCCAAGTTTGGTCCCCAGGCAATAATGTCTCTGTACTTGTTACTTACCAGCTCACCTCTTTCTGAAAAGGCCGCTTAGAGCATCATGTAGCTAATCATACTACAACTCAAGGGGAAAGGCAGGAATGGACCTACACTCAATCTCAGGTTTGTCTGCCCTCCAAGGAGTCTTTGAGGAGGCAGCCAAGCTGAGAAGGGGCGTCTCAGCCTGGAGCCATTAACCTGCCACTCATTGTTGTCCTGGATCACTTTACTGAGGGTATTCATCAATGATTCAGGGAATCAATGGATTCAGAAAACTGCTGGCCTTCTCCAGAGGCTTCAGTGCCACTTCTGTAACACAAGACTCTGGGACTGAAGGACACACAGTGATACTTCAGTAAGGAGTGCAGGGAGGGGGCCGTGATTGGGCAACGTTCTCACTACAAACCAGGCATCTCCAGATCTCAGGGCTACACAGCTTCAATGACAACACCTGACATTTCTACAGAACCAGAAAGAACTTCCACGTCCATTATCTCATTTAATTCTCACAATAGCCCCTAGCCTTACACAGGGCAGGAATTATCATCTCTATTTTGCAGAAATGGGAATCGAAGGTTGGAGAGAAGAGATAACTTGGCAAAGCCACACAATATATAAGTATCAGGATGCGTCCAGTATTAGTGCACTGGAATGGGAGTGAGAGGATGGAGGCTCCAGGCCCAGTGTTGTCTCTCACACACTGTGACCTTGGATAAAGTGCTTAACTTCCATGGGCCCTTGGTTTTTTCATCTGCCAAATGGGGATAATAATGTTCTTGTTGAGTTGTTTCAGTTCCGTCTGACTCTCTGTCATCCCATTTGGGGTTTTCTTGGCAAAGATACTGGAGTGACTTGCCATTTCTTTCTCCAGCTCATTTTATAGATGAGGAACTGAGGTAGAATGGGTTAAGTGACTTGCTTGGGGTCACACAGCTACTAAGGGTCTGAGGCTGGGTCAGGTCTTCCTGACTCCAGACCAGGTGCTCTATCCACTGCAGCACTTACCTGCTCCTAAGATAATAAGGGTAAGAGGATATATAGGATCCTGGATTTAGAGCTGGAAAGGACCTGAGAGATAATCCCATCCAATCCTCTCATTTTCTAGATGAGGAAACTGAGGCACAGAAAAGTTAAGTTACCAAAGGTCACATAGCTAGTACCTGAGATGACATTTGAACTCAGGTTCCTCCTGACTTCAGGGCTAACACTCTACCCACTGTACCACCTATTTCTGTACAGATAAAATGAAATTTTCTTTTTCGACTGTATGTTACAATGAGGAAACTCTTCTACTAATGCAGATCCACATCTTCTCTGCAACCTATACTTTTAGTGAATTGGGTGCCTGGGGCACTGAGAAGTTAGTAACTTGCCCAGGGTCACACAACCAATACGGGTCAAAGGTGGGACTCCTGACTAAAACGACTGCCATCTTGCCTCTTAATGCCCCCCAGGCAACTCTCTAAGATGACCATTAAAAGACTACAGAGAAGGTGCAAAGCTTCTGTGGTAGAAGATGTTTCTTTATTGGGAGTTCCTTATACTATTGTCTGGTAAAAAAAAATCTATCTTATTTTATCCTTTTATTTATAGGAAATGAAGATTACAAATGTACAATTACTTTACAAAATTAAAAGTGTAATACCAATGTAAAGCCCTATGATTATTATTAGCAGCAGCACCACCACCAACATCAGAAGCCCAGAACTGGACAGGCCCCTAGAGGATCTCTAGCCTCAGTCCTACCCAATGCTGGAATATTCTCTACATGTCCTTCTGAGACATCTGGTCAGTCAGCCTTTGCTTGAGCTTAAGGCTGTATAGCTTGAGCTATTACTGAATAGCATTAAATATTAGAAATTCTTCCTTATATTGAGCCCCAAGTTTTCTCCCTTTAATTTCCACCCACTGCTCCCAGGTCTCACTCTGGAAATGTAGAGAACAAGCCTTTGCCCTCTTCCACACGAGAGTCTTCAAATGTTTTAGAGCTCCTGCTCTGCCCTTCCCCCAACTCTTTTCTCCATAGTAAACACCTCTTGTTCCTTCAATCAGCCCTCATTTGCCATGGTTTCCAGACCTCCCCACTGCTGTGGACATGCTCCAGTTTAATTTTCTTAATGCCCCTTTATCCCAAGGCATTGAAGCAGATTGGGGTCATTTTTCAAACTCTGAGGCAGGCAGGGGATTTTCACTAGAGGCAGCACTGCTATTTCTGGGAATATAAGGTGTGAGTCCGGTCAGCTTTAACAAACATCTGTCAGTAAGGCAGATTAACAACAGGTGGCAACCCATGCAAAAGGACCTCTTTAGTAAAAAAAAAAAGCAATAATAATTTGCCTTTGTTGTTGTTCAGTCATGTCTGACTCTTCATGACTCCATTTGGGGTTTTCCTGGCAAAGATACTAGAGTGGTGTGCCATTTCCTTCTGCAGATAATTTTATAGATGAGGAAACTGAGGCAAACAGTGTTAAGCAACTTGTCTAGGGTCACACAGCTAGTAAGTGTCTTAAGTTGGAAATAAACTCAGGTCTTCTTGACTCTAGGCCTCACACTCTATCCAGTGCACCACCTGGCTGACCCAATTCACCTTTACTTAGTGCTTTAATGTTTGCAAAATGTTTTCTTTACAGAAGTCCTGGGAGTAAGTAGTAGAATCATTATTATCCCTTTTCTGAAGATTAATAAGTTAAGGTTCAGAGTTAAATGACTTGCTTGAGGTCACAAACTAGTAATGTCAGCACTGGAATTCAAACCAAGGCCTTTTTACTTCAAGCCTAGTGTTCTTTCTACTGTATCATGCAGTGTCTAGTCATTATTATGATGTTGTTTATAATACAAAATGGAGCTTGGGGGGTCTTCAGACCTGAGAGGTTCTGGGGAAATTACCCCTTTGATTGAGGGTCTCCCTCATTTGGGGCCATCCCCAATTGTCCTTGCCACTGGACTCTGATGACTGGAGGAGACAGTGAGGCTGATGACTTTGCACAGCCCTCTGATGTCATTGGTCCTCTTCAAGAATGAAGGACAAACAACAACGAACAACAACACTCCTTTGATTTTTATGTTAATCTTCCTCCAGCATCAGGATTGAGTTCGTTCCCCTCCACAGAGCACCCAAAGGCCATCCACAACCTCTTCACTACTTACAAAACTTTATTTTCTTTTTCTTACATGAACCACATGATCTGGCAGATTGGCTCATTTCTTATTCCCTGAATGTGCCGTAAGTATTTCCACCTCTGGGCCTGGCTCACACTATGCCCCTTTCTTGGAATGCTTGCCCCCCTTTCTCCACTGGTGCAAATCTTGTCCAAGGTTACTACCTCCTCTGGGAAGTCTTCCCCAACCTCTCCTCAGTAATTGGGAAGAAGAAGAAATGAATGAAGGAAGGAAGGAAGGAAGAAAGGAAAGAAAGAAGGATTTATTAAGCACTTTACAAATATTATTTCATTTGATCCTTACAATAATCCTGGGAGGTGGGTGCCACTATCTCCATTTTACAGTTGAGGAAGCTGAGGCAGATGGAGGTTAAGTAACTTGCTCAGGATCACATGGCTAGTAAGTGTTTGAGGCCAGATTTGAACTCAGCCATTCCTGATTCAAGTTCCAGTGCTCTAACCACTGTGGCCACCTGGTTGGCATCCTCCAGTACAAATTACTTGTCACTCACTTGGGCTTTAGCCTGTGCCATCTCTTTTAATTATTCATCTTTTCATGTACATGTCCTGTTTCCCCAACAAGGATAAAAGGCTCCTGAGGCCAGAGATTGTATTATATAAGTAGGGTCTATCTCTCTAGTTTCTAACACAGTGTTCTTCACAAAAGTATTCAATGTGCAATCATAGTAATGCAAAAATTGTATCAAAAATATCAATCACTTTAAGGTTAGCACAACACTTTCCTCATAATGACTCTGTGAAGTCAGGTTATTATTATTGTTTATTGTTGTCATTTTCCACACAAAAAAGACTTCAGAAGGATTAAGTGACTTGGCCTAGGTCATAGAGAAGGCAAACTGAAGAGCCAGGCCTGGACCCAGGTCTGTTGATGATGATGGCTCTCTGACTGGCACTAACACTGATTTTCCTGGCATGGCTTTGAAGATTCTCAGACTTTGGGGGTCTAAATGAGTTGCAGTATCCTTATGTGTTTTGGGGATCAACAACTCTCTCTTCCTACTTTGGAATCACAAGCAGCAAAAAGAGTTCTTTGTCCTATACTGATATTTCTTGCTCTGTTTCTTTACAGGGTGATAAAATAAATACAAAGATAGAGCTATGGCACTATGGAAGATAAGCATCTTTACCTGGCAACCTCATTAGCTGTAGCTTGCATAGGTTTCATTTGAGAAATGGGAAATCTGAGGTAGAAAAATGTTTAAGACCCACCAGTGAGTTCCTGAACTAGAATGATGAACAAAGACTCTTTCTGTTCTAGATCGTGGCTTTGGGAAAAGTTTGTTATGCCATCATGTTAATATGTAAGACTGTGACCTTGCAGGTACCACATTCCTATAACAACAGTCACAGGGTCAATGGAATGCCATTCTACCCACCTGTGGGGGAAAAAAATTAAAAAAAAAATCACCAGACCCTGTAGTCCTTTTGAGGTATTTTCCTATATCATTCTTTCCTTTCCCCAGATAGACTCCTAGGAAAATCCATCTAAATCCTGTCCCAGAAGGCAAGAGGGGAGAATATTCAAGCTGGAAAAGCCTTAAAGGTCATTTTGTTCAATCATTTCATTTTATAGATGAGTGTCAAAGAGAAGAAACAACCTGCCTAAGGCCACGCTGTTGATGTGTGGCAGAGCTGGATCTCAAAGTCAAATCTATTGACTTCACATTGGTGCGGCCCTGGCCATGGTACTGAAGATAGTGGTAGGAGCAGCTGGGGCCTGAGCTCCTTGAAAGTCTACTTTGGAGAGTGCAGTGGAGGAGATTGTTGTCAAAAAGATTCTCTGAGAAAACTAAATGCTAAATATATAATACCTCATTGATTACCCCAGGGAATTTTCCAGCTAAATGAAGTGACAATTGTTTCGCTTGGGAAGACTCACACCAATTGGCAAACGTGAGTGCACACCAGGCTCACATACAAAGGCAGGACCAAAGGAACAATTAAACAACCACATAATAATGTAAAGGAAAACAGCACTGAAAGACAACAAAATTGTGATCAATCACTAATTGTAACTTCAGAGAACTCATGGTAAAGTAAGGAGATGGTAGCTCGCAGGTGGGAAATGAAGCATACATTGTCAAAGCACTGGTTCATTCTGCTTATCTGTATTTCTTTGGTTCTAGGGTGTGTGTGTGTGTGTGTGTATGTATTCATTAGAAAGTGACAGTGGGGGGCAGCTAGGTGGTGCAGTGGATAGAGCACTGGCCCTGAAGTCAGGAGGACCTGAGTTCAAATCTGGCCTCAGACCAAACACTTGACACGTACTAGCTGTGTGACATTGGGCAAATCACTTAACCCCGATTGCCTCACTAAAAAAAAAAAAAAAAAAAAAAAGTGACAGTGGTATAAAAAGAGCATGATGAAACTGAAATCCTCATCTTATTTTTTAAAAATAATATTTATTTTTAAAAGAAAACAAATAGATCTGGATGAAAATTTTCTCCTAAGCCTTACATACCTCTCTATCTTTAAAATGGGGCATTGAACATAATTTTACCCTTTCTTCAACATGTCAGCTCATTTTTATTAAGATCCATTATTATCTATTAACATCCTATATAACCTGAGTCAAGTATTGTATGGAGCTGTAATGCAGTAATGTCCTCAGGATCTATTAAGGTGAATAAGGCTGTTTACTTTTACACAGATATGTTTTCTTGAGTTCCCATGTCTGCTTTTTATGATGATTCTCTCTGCTTACTCACCACCAGACCATCAGTTCTTGCTTTTAGCTGCGTTTGGGGTGCCCTGCCTCTAAATTACCACCAAATACTACTGGGGCCAGTCAGTGGCTCACAGGTGACCAACCTCTGAGTTAGGTCATTAAATCAGTTTTGAAAATTGTAAACAGGAGGGCTGACCTAGCAAGGGAAGGATCTTGCATGTGAGAGCTGCCCGTTCCCCTATGGCAGGACAGCTGCCTTCATGTGGCCATTTGGGAAGGACCAATTACCCAGACCTCCCAGAGACAAGGAAGCCTCTCATAAAGCTCAGCTACCTTCACTGTTGACTTCTGGGAGCAGCTTTCTCAGTGGCTTTTTCACCTCCCAGGTGCTGTTGATGAAGGAGGGCATCACTCTGAGCAGCTCATCTTTGTCTTCCTCCCGGATTACAGGAATTGTCTCCAGGATAAGCTGCATCTGTTCCAACTCGTGACCCCCTGAGGAAGGAAACATCAGAGGAGTTACATCTGACAAAAAAGTCCTGGGACCAAAGATGAAGTTTTGGGATCCCTGGGAATAGCAGCTTGGTACAGTGGAGAATCCTGGGCCTAAAAGTAAACAGACTTGGGTTATAATCCTGGCTCTGCTCCCAACTAGCTGTGCCACCCTGGGCAATTCATGTTTCCTCTCTGAGTCTCTGTATCTTATCAAATAAAGGAGGTGGACCAGCTAATAAATCCCTAAAAGGCTCCCTTCCAGCTCCATTCTATGCTTGGCACAGTGGAAAGAATGCTAGATTTTGAGTTAGAGGACATTGGGCTCAAATCTCGGTTCTGCCATTTCTACCTTTGTGATGAGAATCACTAAAGCTCCGAGTCTTAGGTGTAAAGTGAGAGATTCTGACTAAATGGCTTTCCAAGGCTCCCTCTAGCTTGAAATCTATGATCCTATTATTCTAAGTTACCAGCCCACTTTGGCTCTGCCAAAGACAGTGTTACAAGAGCCCCAGCTTGACTTTCCAAGTATTTAGCCTCATATGTTTCTCTGTCTTCTTAGTGCCAAGATGGAGAAGGTGCTAACTATAAGACCAAATGTGACCCTGACATTTCGTGGTTCAATTAGGTGCTTTTTATCTGAGAAACTCTTTTCTGAAGTGGAAGAAAATCAAGAAAGAGTCCATTCAGTGATTAAGATGCACTTTAGCCAACCAAACTAACATTACTTTTAAAAAACATTTATTATCCAAATGTTTGGTGTCGCACAGATATTGCCTTGGAATTAATGCTTCACTGTTTCCTGGGAGAGGAGCTTGGTGACAAGAGAGGTCAAGTCTGTAGGACAGGTGGTCAGGATCAGAAAAAAATGCAAACAGAGAGGAGCACAATCCTTTATCTCATCTCATCTTATCTTATTTTCTCATAAGCTTGGAAAATTCAGGTGCCAGACCAGCTAGTCTTTTTTCTATTCCAAATTTTCCATCATTCCTGATTCTGTTCTTTCTAACTGGAAGAACCTCCTCACTTCTCTGTAGTTGAGAGCACCTCCTCCATGAAGCCTTTGTGGCTTAGTCCAGACTCATAAACCTCCCTCCCTTCCCTGAACTGCTACAGTTGCGCATCAACTGAGATGCACAAATTTAGAGACATCTCCACTTCAAATGTTCACGTGGACTTTTTGTGGCCAACTTGTGGTGGAGCCTGTTGAGCTTGCATTGGTCTAATCAGCCACAGTTGGACACAGTGTACCTTGACTCTGATGCAATGATGTCATTTTGGTCCTCTTCGAGCACGAAAGACATAAACCCAACCTAATGTGCACCAACCCAACCTAGCACCTGACCATACAAGGTTTTATATTATACTCAAATCCTTTTGGATACTGTATTATTCTGAAAAATTAATGTGGATGGCTTATTATAGGCATAGTTTTTCTAGGCAAGCCTAGATCAAAAGCCAGAAGAATTCGGGATCTTAAAAAAAAGGAAGATGAGTGACTCTCTTCCCATCTGTACCCCCTTCTAGCAGTGCCCCACTTTTGCCCATCTACTGCTTACTGATAAGGGACATAAGTTACATCGTAGTGGTGAGAATCAGAGGATTGAGGAGGAAGAGTCCCTTAAAACAGGAGTGGGGACCTCAATGGGGTACTTGAAGGTCTCTATTAGTGACACCCCAGGGAGCCTGGTAAGGAGACCTGATGCTTCCAGAAGGAAGAATCAATGACCAGAGCTATGGGACCCTCATAGGTATCTTGACTCAGGGAACCATACCCCAGGCCCCTCTGCCTTCCCCATCAGACCTCTCAGAATGAAGGCACTAGTATCTTCTGACTTATTTCCCTTTGAGCTAAGTTCCAAAAAACTAGGGACTATCTGAATCTTCTCCTCAAGTGGAAGGAGACTTTGCCTAAGAATCAGTTGGCTCCAGTACTGGCTCTGCCCCTAAACTTCTGTGACCCTTAACTTCTTTCTTTAAAACATAAAGGGCTTCAGCGATGTAACTTATGTCTCATATCACCTTTGGACTAGGTGAGCTCTTAGAGCCCTCTGAACTCTGAGATTTCAGGAAGCTATGGTTCTGTTCCTTAGATGATCCTGAAAATCTCTTCTAGTCCCAACATTCTATTATTATTGTAGTCTCAGTTAACTCCATGATTGGAGAGTTAACTCAAATTAATTTTCTCCCATCAAGTTACCTTACAAAAGTAAAATCTAAATGCATAAAAAGCTTAGGAAACATGACAAAGGTTATGAGGAAAATAGGAAACTGATTGTGGAAGTGCCAGTGTTATCGAGCATATAAATGGAAAACAAGGTAGTGCTTCCTACTTGGTCATTACAAGAGCAATAACCAATCTGAAAAATTTCTTAAAACTATTCACACTTAGGGTTCTTTACCTAGTGTGTGCTTCATTTAAATATGAATGAACAAGTTTTCATTCTATTTAGAACTCATGTTTTGATGTACACAAAAATTGCTGAAGTTAAAACATCTGATGAAATCTAAGATTAGTTGTGTGAATTTGTGCATGTTACTTAACCTTGAACATTGATTTCCTCCACTGTTAACTGGGGATAAGAATCCTTGATTTATCTACTTCACAGGTTGAAAATTGTATATGAAAGTGCTACAGTATGGATATGGAATGTATATCGAAGTGCTATGGTTCTACGGCTATAAAGGGCTATTACTTTGTTCAAGACAGCAGTCCTGATCCAGTTCGGACATGGCCCACTCTCCCTCCTTGCCAAGGCCCTTAACATATTCCTTTGGTCCTTGCCTTCTCTTCTATACAAATGTAAACTTTGTTTTCCAGCAGGTAGGAAAGTGAATAAGTGAGTCAAAGTGGGCTCCCCTTGAGCCAAGGTCCCCCCACAGAGCTTTCACAGGCCACTCACAAAAGGGCTGTGTTTCCTAAACATTAAGATAAGGCATCATTTGACCTTCACTGCTTACCATGCTGGGTTTCATCAGTGTACCCGAGCCCAGACAGCAGCTCTGGTATGCCCTGCTGCTGGATATCCCAGAGATGGCTTGGGTCCCATGCAAACAAATTTATCTCTGCTATCCCTGAGGGCCTCCACTCTGTCACCAAGTGGGGCCATTTCCCATGGTGAGGGCTGGGCAGCCTTCCTGAGGTCAGCCCTCTGCTGGGAGGCACTGGGTATCACAAACATCTTTCATATCATTAAGTGACTTTGGACCTATTTAAGTGGAAGACACAAAGTCACAGTTGGAGCTTGAAGGGCAATTATCCACAGATAGCCCCTTTCAACCCTCACTCCCCTACGAGAATTCTATTTCACAGACCCCCTTAACACATCTTTGTGCATTCTCTTTCCAGTCTTGGTTTTCTTGGCCCAGAATGTTTTTCTCTTTCTTCCTGTGGGTCTAAGTTCAACCACTCTTTCAAGCTCCAGTTTAAATCTGGCCTCCTCCATGAAGTTTTCCCAGCCCCCTCTGATCTCTCCTTCCTCCAAACTCTAATAACACTTACTCGTGACTCCTCATGGCACCTAGAACATGTCAACTAGAGTAACAGTATTTTAGAGCTGGAAGGGACCTTAAACATCAATTAGTTCAACTCTCTCACTTTAGATTTGAGGTAATTAGGCCCAGAGAGTGCCTTGCCCAAGGTCAAACATGTAATCAGCATCAGCTGTAAGATTCCAGTGGACATCTCCTGACTCCAGAGCCAGGATTCTTTCCAGCATGCTAGGCTATGTCCCTTGTATTATTGTTTATCTTTCTACTTACATGTCTTATCTCTTCAACTAGACTATAAGCTCCTGTAGGGAGATATTTTGGCCTTTTTTGTTTGTTTCTTTTGTTTTGTTTTATTTTAGTTAGGCAATGGGGTTAAGTGACTTGCCCATGGTCACACAGCTAGTAAGTGTTATGTGTCTGAGGTTAGATCTGAACTCGGGTCCTCTTGAATCCAGGGCCAGTGCTCTACTCACTGCACCACCTAGCTACCCCTATTTTGGCCTTTTTAAGTAACCTTGGCCAAGAGGGTAAGTAGTGATAGCATACCACCCATCAGCCCCTACCCCTAAGTATATTCTATATGTGTCTCTAGAAAAGAGAAACTAATAGGCTTATGCACCTTTTAATAGGTACCTGTACTCAGGTGGATCACCTGTTAGAATTACAGGCCAAGAGACCAGGAAAAAATAATCACAAGGTACTTTGAGGTTGACAAAGCACTGAAAATACACAATCCCATTGGATGCCATTAGGTGGGCACATAGTCATTACTCTGTCTCAGAGGCAATGCTGTATGGTGGATAGAGAGCTGGCCTTGACACCAGAAATACTGGGGTTCAGGTCCCACCTCTGATACTACTGGCTAAATTTGTGTCTGGCCCTGGGCAAGCCACTTAATCTCTCAACTCTCAAAGACTATACGCTATAGAAAATGTGCCAACCTGCACTAGTAGAGGGAATTTCCTCAGCTGGGAATTCCTTTTATCAATGAAATAATAGGTCTGTTCCTATCCCTATCCTCATTTCACAGATGAAGACACTGAGTCTTAAAGAGGTTAAATGACTTGCTTGTAATCACACAACTAGGAAGTGTCAAAGGCAAGATTTGAACCCATATTTTTCCTGATTCCAAATCCAGCACTCTCTTATACTATACTGCCTGGTTCAACCTCTATAGGGCTTGAATATCCAAGCATGCTAACTGATGGCAAACATCTCACCTTCCTTGATTCTCTGGTTCGCAACAATCTTTCTTCATGGACCTACCTCTCTGTGTTGCAACCATCTGCAATATGATATTTACTTACTGATGTTTGTGCCTTATCTCCCTAACTAGAATGTAAGCTCCATGAGGATAGGCAGAGTGTCTTATTAAACTTAGTATCTTCCCAGAACCTAGCACAGTGTCCTGTACACAACAAGCACTGAATAAATATTGCCTGAATAAATAAATAAACGCATAAATACTTGGGTTGAATATATTCTATGGTGGAAAAAGGACATAGTCTTAAAGAACCTTTACCACTATGTATAGGACATTTCTTACCCCATCCCAATGTAGGCGTAGCTATTCTTGGCCTAGAACTCTGCAGTATAATAGGCAACTGACCCGTGTCACGGTTCACTGACCAACAGGGTCTTACATATATAGAATGTGCTGAATGTGCCCAGGTACACTCTAATGTCCTTTCCCAAAACTGGTTTTTGTGTCTCATTTTTAAGTTTGTATTGTTAATAAAAGTTTATTTGTTAATTTTAGAAAAATTAAATTTAGTTAAGGTTTAGTTTTAGAAAGATAATGTCCTTTATGATTGATTATTCAACACATTGCCCTTAAAAATAAATGTAAATTAGGGGGCAGCTAGGTGGTGCAGTGGATAGAGCACCGGTCTTGGATTCAGGAGGACCTGAGTTCAAATCCGGCCTCAGACACATATACTTATTAGCTGTGTGACCCTGGACAAGTCACTTAGCCCCATTGCTTAAACAAAAAAAAAAATGTAAATTATCTGAGTATATACCCTGAAGGAATGTGTTGCATGTGTTGTTGGTTCCAGCACAGTGGAGGAGAGGGTATTCTCGGGGATGTAGCATTTGAGACCTTGGATAGATCTTGACCATAGTCCTTTCTGCCAAGGGCAGGTCCCAGGTGGTAGGGGCACAGACACATCACAATTTTCCTTTGACCATTTCCAAAGACAAGATAATCCATAGGGTATATAAATGTGTTTTTGAGACATACTCTCATCCACCTGGATCACTAGGCTGTCAACAAGTCTTGCCTGGTATTTCTACACACTCTTAAGTCCTAATTCTGACACACAAAGACGAGACTTGCTATTAGTTCTTTGGACCATTACACTGGCCTTCTAGGTGGCATGCTTGCCTCTATTCTCCCTCTTTCTTCCTCTTATCAAGCCTTTATACTGCTTCTATACTTTTCTTTTTTATACACAGATCTGGTCACATAGCTCTTCTGCCTCTGTGGCTCCCTATTACCTACTAAGCAAAGTTTGAACTCTTTTGCCTGGTGTTCAAAGCTCTCCACAAACCAGCCACCTTCCCTATCCAGCCTTAGTGCTTATTCTTTTTCTCTATGCACTTTATATCTCAGCCAAACGAGAATGCTTTCTTCTCCCACATACACACTGAGCTTTCCAATCTCCAAGACTTTCACTATTTCCTATAAATGGAATGCCTCTTTTCCTCCCTCTTTGCCTGATGAGTTCCTATCCATCTCTTAGTACCCAACTCAAGTCTCTCCTCTTGCATGAAGACTTCCCATGCCATGCCTCTGCCTTGCCACCGAATAACAATCTTTCTGTTGGACTTCACATGGCACCATACCACATATATACCATATATTATTTTAAATGTATATATAAAAGATATATATATATACACATATATAATATATCATACATAGATCTATTGGTGTGTGTGCTGGTATATATATGATACATGCATATATGTAACACATATGATATATTTATACTCATATAAATATATGCATATGTGAGTATACATATACACATACATCATGTGAGAGATGTGTGTGTGTGTATATATATATATGTAAAACAGAACTGAGGATAAATCTCACATTTAAATATCATTTATATATACATACACATATACATATATACATATGTATATACATATATGTCTACACATATATATCATACACATAGACACATAGGTTATATATTTCCTGAGTATCAGCTATGGGTCCAGGCCTGTGGTGTAGAAAGAACATTATTTTGAAGTGAGTAGATGTAGGCTTAAACCCTGCTCTGACAGTTATGAGACATAGGATCATGGTTCACCTTTCTGAGCCTTGGTTTCCTCATCTAGGAAAAAAAAGAAATTATGTTGCTTCCTATCCCTCACAAATGGTGGTGAGAAATGTTATTTTGCAAACCTTAAAGCATCATATAAATGTGCATTATTAATTTTTATTGATTTATTGGTCTTAGCCAATCTGACTGTGTTCTGGATAGCCAGACTTCAGTCACAGATAAATAAAATGAGGGTAGGAGAAGCCCCATTTTCCATTTAATTATCCCATTTTATAAGATGAAACGTTGTAAAGAAAGGAACAAAGGAAAAGTAGGAACCCACCAGCAAACAGCATCTTCCCTGTGAGCATTTCAGCCAAGATGCAGCCAGCTGCCCACATATCTATAGCCTTGGTATAGTTGTTGGGAGAGAGAAGCAAGCGTGGAGATCGATACCATTTTGTGACCAGTCCTTCTGAAAGATAACCCTAGAAGAGAAAAGACAAAAACACCAGACCAACAGGTAAGTAATGCCTCCTGAGAAACACTTCTTCCCAAACTTTTATTTTTTATTTTGTTTAGGCAATTGGGGATAAGTGACTTGCCCAGGGTCACACAGCTAGTAAGTGTCAAGTGTTTGGTCTGAGGTCAGATTTGAACTCAGGACCTCCTGACTTCAGGGCTGGTGCTCTATCCACTGCGCCACCTAGCTGCCCCCTCCCAAACTTCTAATGGTCCAGTCTCACAGAGGAGACCTGGGAGTGTAATAGGAAGAACTCGTCCTTTTTGTCTCTTCCAGTTATATTGGCAGGAAGCTGGAGGCATCTGGTGGATCATGGCTCAGATCTGCTGTCAGTCACAGTACTGGGTGGAGTCAAGTACAGGGTCTTGGCCTGGTACATTGAACACAGAAGTGTTTGATAGAATCTGGGGGCAAGTGAAAAAGTCTCCGAGCCCAAGGAAAATAGCAGTCACAAAGCACATACATTTAACTCTTCTCAAACACAGAATGTATTTAACTTAATTTTAACACATAACACTTGGTGATCTGGTTGGCAAACTTTGTTTATAGCTAAAATTTCAACTAGAGAACTCAAAGGTATTAGATCAGATGAGTTGATGGCAGGAGTTTGTTTCTCTAAAGGATTTTTAAGAAATTATGAAAGAGAATAGAAATAGCCACGAGGGAGAACACTGAAGAATTATCAACCAGAATTGGCAGTGAGGCATAGTAGAGCATTGAACTTGCAGTCAGGGTTAGCAGAATGAGCCAATTTGGAGGGGAAGCAGGTAATGGAGCCCTGAATTAGTTGTGCACAAAGCTGGAGAAGAGACATAAAAGTAAAGGCTGTTCCAGGACACCCTGGCTCAAAAAATATCTCTACTGGATAGGGACCCCTGGTTAAATATAAATTTCAAAGGAAGGATAGCACATTAACCCACCACCAACCACCAATACCTTACAAATTAGATTACTGGGGACTATAGGTTTCATTAGTAACTAGGCGGCGCCATAGTGCACAGAGTGCTGGGCCTGGAGTCAGGAAGACTCATCTTCCTGAGTTCAAACCTGGCCTCAGACACTTACTAGCTGTGTGACCCTGGGCAAGTCACTTAACCCTGTTTGTTTCAGTTTCCTCATCTATAAAATCAACTGGAGAAGGAAATGGTAAACCACTCCAGTAGCTTCACCAAAAAAATAAAAAATAGGGTCATGAAGAGTCTGAAACGACTGAACAACAACAACAAATGGGTTTCGCTGCATCTAGAACTAAAATCAGAGACCATCCTGTCCCATTCTATTTTATAGAGGAGAGAACAGAGGCTCAGAGAGGAGAAAGGACTTCACTCAAAGCCACTAATATAGGAAGCAGCCAGGATTCAGTACCACATGGTCAAACCTCAAATGCAATGCTTTGTCTACCACACCATTCTTTAGTAAATCAGTCACCCGAGGGTGGGAAACGAGACAGACACAGTTTTCAATGGGGTATTAGGAAAGGTCCAAGTCCATTTAATTCAACAAATGTTTGTTAAGTACCTAAAGTGTGCAAGATAGAACATGGGCTATTCTCTAGGGCTGTGTGGGGTAGGGCATTGAGCAGCAAGGGGGGTAATCCAGGGATCCCAAGGGGAGGGCGCTGAAAGGGGAAGAGGGGTAAATGGGGAGAGACAGACGCTCCATGAGCAAATGTCACTTCTCTAAGTTTGTGTTCCATTATTCTCTTACACATATTCCTCCAAAGCCAAACTGTCCTATTAGCTGCTCCCCAAACACATCCTGTACTTTCTCATACCCTTCCTTCTCCACTGGAAATGCCCTCTCTTCCTCCTTTTTCTCTACTCCTACTTGCCTTACTTTTCTATCTCTGTAACTAGAACCCTCTATACCACCAGTCACCTGGTCTCTAAGGTTTGAAACTCCAGGTTACTTTGGACTCTTCCCTCTCCCTTACCTCTCATATCTAGCCAGTTAATGAATCTCGCTGATTCTGCCTCTGCAACACTGCTCACACGCATCCTCTCATCTCCATTCCCACTGCCACCACCCGACCACAGGTGGTCATTACCACCCACCAGTATTTGTAATAATCTCCTACTAGGTCCTTGCATCTCTCTGCTCTCTGGTCCCTTCAATCCAGCCTTCATATATCTGCCAGAAGAATCCTCCTTCTGCATAATAATAAAATAATAATGATGACGGCGATGAGAGCAAACATTTCTGTAGCTTCTATAGAAAGGTTGGCTCTCATAAAATAATATACTATGTAAGTATATAACATATGCAGACATATAATAATGAGAATAAACATCCATATAGCAGTTATAGAAATGCTAAATCTTATAGTACAGTATAATAATTATAACATTATATATAATGTAATGTTATGTTATATATTATATAAAAATTATAATATAATAATAAAATGAGAGCTAACATTTATATAGAAGCTATTTTATGTCATTTCTATATAAATGTTAGCTATTATTATTGTGTAGAAAGAAGATATCCCATATTATAGCTTGTTAAGGTTTGCAAAGACTTTACATACATGATGTCATTTGATAGATCTGGCCATGTCACTCTTCTGCTCAAACCTTTCAAAACCTCATTCTGATGCTCAAAACCTGGTCCCTTTACTTACTAAGATCACATTCATTTATCAGGTATTCAAAGCCTTTTATAATCTGGCACTACTGCATCTTTAATCAATCAATATTTATTAAGCTCCTACTATGTGTCACAGTCTTACCTCAAATCACATCCCTTCATGTTTTTATTGTTCAGTCATGTCAATCATGTCTGACTCTTCATGACCCCATTTGGGGTTTTCTTGGCAAAGATACTGGAGTGATTTGCCATTTCTTTTTCCAGCTCATTTGACAGATGAGGAACTGAAGGTTAAGTGACTTGCCCAGGGACACACAACTAGTAAGTGTCTGAGGCCAGATTTGAACTCATGAAGATGAGCCTTTTGGACTCCAGGCCTGGCACTCTATGCACTATGGTGCCACCTAGCTATGTTGTACTTTCCTCCAAGCACTCTAATATCAAGTTAAATTATTCTGTCTTCCAGACATGTCCTGTACTCTCACTTTTGGCCTTGGTTCATGCCTCCATGCCCACTCTATCATCTTCACCTTTTGAGTTTCTACCCATTCTTTAGAGCTCAATTCAAATGCCACCTCCTTCATGAAGCTTTCCCTAATTCTCTCTCTTGGTTAGAACCTTCCTCCTGAAACTTCACATAGCATTTTGTTTTGCCCCTCTCTAAATACTTCTTAGGCAGATGGATGACACAGCAGAGCTTGGAACCAGGAAGACTCATCTCCTTGAGTTCAAATCTGACCTCATACACTTCCTAGCTGTGTGTTCCCGACCAAGTCACTTAACCCTGTTTGCCTCAGTTTCCTCATCTGTAAAATGAGCTGGAGAAGGAAATGCCAAACCACTCTAGAATCCTCACCAAGAAAACCCCAAACGTGGTCATAAAGATTTGGACATGACTGAAAACAACTCAAAAATAACAACAACAAATACTTCTTCTTATTATGTAATGTAGTTATCAGTGTTTATGGCTGACCCTCCTTCTGGGTTAAGCTTCATGATGGCAGAAGCTAAGTCTTATCCAAAAGGCTCTGTACAGAGCAGGTCCTTAAACATGTTTGCTGAATGAATAAATGAATCCACAATTCTTTAATGTCTAGTTCAAAACCACCTCTTGATTCTCGTAGTCAGACGTAATCTCTCCTCCCTCTGAATTCCCACAGTACCATATGTCCTCATTATGGTCCTTATCATTGATATTCAGATACAATTATTTATTTAGATGTATGTATATAAGCTTCTTGAGGGCAGGGACACTATCTGAAAATGACACTTGACATTTATATGAAGCTGACCAAACATTCTACCCAGATGATCTCGGCATCTGGAACCCGGAGAGTGAAATGACTTATTCAGGGTCAAATGGCAATAATGGAAAGAACTGGGATTTCAATTTGGGTTCCTCTAACTCCAGCTCTCTTTTTGCTAAGCTGTGTTTCCCTTATTAGTGATACTAGAAAACAGTTTCAATAGAGTGGTAAGGCTGGATTGCAAGAGCTTGAAGAAGGAATAGGTAGCCCAGAAATGGAACCAGTGGGCATATTAGTCTATGACAGGATAAATAGGACAGAGGTAATGAATCTATGAACTTGTCCAAAGTCATAGACCATAAGGTAGAAGCTGGGACCTTTTCAAATAATGCTCAGCAATCATCAGTCTTTTTATTTTTAAAGGAAACATTTTATTAGAAAGCTAACATAAACATCAATAAAAACAATTAATAGACATTTAAATTAATTAGTTTTGAGAATTTTGGTAGTGAAAATGAAGAGATTAAACAGTACAAGCTAAAAATGGCCATATGGGATTCTTTTTTTCAAATGAAGTAAGACTGATATATGTTTGAAAGAAGAGGGGATGTAGCCAATGAAGAGGGAGACAGTGAAGATGCTGGAGAGAGAGAAAGTATGATCCCATGGGGGCCCATGAGGGATGAGATCAAGGTCATAGATTGCCCTTGGAAATAATGATAGACGTGTCTTCCTCTGAAAGGAAGGTTGATAGGCTGAATGGGGAGGAGGGAAAGAATCTAAGGACTTATCCAAAGCCATAGACACTGGGGTGGGACTTGGAGCCTTCCAAATGATGTTCAACAATCATTATTTTAAAAGGAAGTTTTATTAGAAACCCAATATTAAACAAATAAATATGACTAATATATATCTAAATTCATTAATTTTAATGCATAATAATAACACTTTTTAGACACTCTCTCTAAAAAGGAATATTCCTGAATTAGACTAGAGGCAGGCTAGCATATCTTATTTGGAGAGCAAATCATCTTAGGGAAGTTTTTACTTTGTTTTGATAATCAAATTATTACACAGCTAGTATTGGTCTAATAAGACAATGGCTATGAAAATGCTTTTTAAAAAGCAT